TGGATCATTTGTTGCCAAGGACATAGATAAGAAGCATTCCTCATTGCAGGCTGGAGATTAGATCAGATGACCTGGCAGATGTTCTGATGTCCTACTCGCTTGCACAAGCGAATCCCTTGCACAAGCGAATCCTCCACATATTGATTTTCTGTCTCCTTATGGAAGCAATGTGCATGCACAAAAAACAGATGACGCAAGAACAAGAAGTCTAAAGCTTTCTCTTACCTTGATGGGAAAGTAATCACGCATGTATTCCCAAACTTTGAGGCTGCACAGGAAGGGCGACCTGTTGCCTCCACGTGCAGGAGTGTCGTAATCAAAGTACCACCAGACAGCATACAGCACGCTGATCAGCCAGTAGCGAGTGAACATCAGGTAACAGAACAGGAAGATGCAGGTGGGTGCTGAGACGAGAAGGACATTCACTAACACAACAGACACTAAATGATCGGTAACTATATCAGAGTTAGCCATGATAGCGTATGCATAAATGGGACTCTGTTCAGGGGGGAGACCATCTCAAGTCCTTTACAGATTTACAGATATGTATTAGAAGTGCCAATCTTGGTTTTATAACTGTTTATTTGCTATCACTCTCATTTTTATTGCTTTCCAGGATGCTTCGAATCAATATTTTTAATCTCTCTTGGTGAAAAAAGACAAATAGCAAATAATCAAAGCTCGTGTTTAGCATGGACACTGAAATACTAGTTATCACAAAACTAGCTATGAATGACTTGTATCACCTGCTGCACCAGGGAGCTCATAAACTCATTACAGAGATGGTGAAGTGGCTAAGAATACAAATGTAAACTTGAACAGAGCCAGTGGGATAAAGGGCGCAAAAAACTCCAGTATATAGGAAACGTATTCTCAAAGTATCCTCTTTAATTTACTGCTAATAAAATCAGTTAATGTGGCAGCAAATATTAACAGGATTCTGTGGCTGTGTAAAAAAATAAAAAAGCTTGGAAACCTGAATTAAGGAGCTCTGTTCTCCTGAACTACAAAAACAACAGGCGGATGAAATGACTTGGATGGATGCTCTTCTGTCTGGCTCCCTCTTCTGGCCATGCAGAACTACAGCTCACGTAAAACAAAGGTTCTCTCTGTTTTGCACTAATTGTGACTTCATCAAAAGCAGATAAACAAGCATGTTTATGTTTCACAACAATAATATTAATGTGAAAATCTTCATTTATCCTTTTACTTCTTTAGCAGAGTCGTTCTTGCATCCTTCCATCATTTACAGGTTTCCCAATTTAACTCACAGAAAAGTCAACACTCACCCAGACCAAGGAAGGTGAAGACCCACTGCAGCACCATGGCAGTCTGCAGTCTCCTGTGGAGGGGTATAGTCACGGGGGCAAAATTAATTTTCATGATTTCCACAAGAGAAGAAATCCAAACCACGGCGCTGCAGTGGAGGCAAAGAGGAAGAGCGAGAGAAGGAGGTCCAAAGTCTGCTCTTGTCACCTCTCCACCAGCATTTCCTATTGACCGGCTTATCTCAAACACTTAGCAAAGACTTTGATTTGCCAGTCCATATCTATGCAATCTGACTTTTGAACAAGCAAGTTATGCACTACACAGAGATCCCCAGCAAAGAACAACAAGCCACAAAGCTGTGGACTTCCTGCAGAGCATTGAAGGCAATCACTGGCTAGAATGGCCATGCTGTATGCAAAGTGTTTATATTTGTAAAGGCTCCATCTTTTTGTTAGAAAAATGTATACATATCTTGTCACATGGGGTCTATGTCAGCGCTGCATAAAAGCTTAA